CACACACCCTTTATATTGAAGATATTAAGATGTTTGAAGAAATGTCGATTGCCTCCCTTGTCTATCGAAAATCACGAAGAAATCTAAAGATATAAAGTACTTCTGCAATTCTCACGAGAATGGATCAAGTCTTGCTCAGTTGTCAACTAAAGAAAAATTTAGTCAATCATGGTAGAGATCATGCTTAGCGTGTAGAAAGAAATAAAATGAAGAAGAAAATAATTTTATTAAATTAGAAACCTGAAAACAAAAAAAAAGTCAAACCATTTCTATACCGAATTCTAAATTTGTACATCCGTCAAGCTTTACGCTGATGGATATTTATAGCTTGAAAAACCTAAAGAAAATAAATTACTAATTCTTAAATATTCAAACTCTTAATTCTTAACAACTAAAAAACCTAATTAATAAATATTAAATCCTAAATAATGTAAATTAATAATTCTATGCAAAGTAAATTCTTAATAAAATAATAAAATATAAAATATTTAAATCCATTAGAACTTTTTAATTTCTAAGAAATTGTGGTTTGCCTTGTTTTCCTCATTTCATCTTGTTACTTGGATTATTTAAATTACTAAATTTATTTGTGCTAAGGATGCTTTAGGATAATTATTTTGCTTAATTTCCTTTCCATTTAAAAAAGATAAAAAAAAAGTTCATCTTAAATTAAGTGATTTAATTTTTTAAGATAAATTACACGTTTATTATCTAAACTGTCAATTTTATTTTATTTTAATATCTAATTTTAATTTATTTTAAAACTATACCCAACATTTGCTTTTTATTTTATTTTAATATCCCCCGTTAAAACTTAGCCACTCTTCATTTTTCAAGGGTAAATTATATAATCATCATTTAATTATCGTCTCACTTTTATTTTGGTTACTAAAGTTTAATTTTTTTAATCCAACTACACAACTTTCAAATTGCTCATGTTTTATCACTCCAATTTATTTTATTAATAATTTTTTATGACATTACATTTTTTATTATTTTTAATATATGATTAAAATAAAAAAATAATTTTGATTGTTAGAGTGATTAAATTCAGAGTAATTTGAAAGTTAATTAATTAAATTTAAAAAATAAATTTCAGTGGCCAAAATAAGAGTGAGAAGATAGTTGACTGATGAATGATGCAATTTACTTATAAAAAAGATGTCACGTACAACAATTATGTTTAAGTTTTTAACAATGAAGTACCAACACGAAAAAAAAAAAAAATGTCGAGTATGATTTGAAACAAATAAAGTTTAGGTACTAAAACAAACAAAATTAATAGTTTATGTATTAAATGTATAGTTTATCTTTTTTCCTTAAAAAACTAATGTTGAGCAACGAAACGGAGAAAACAAAAAAATATTCCAACTGGACTATGTTTTCAGTTCGGTTTGAGTTTTTTAATTTACAGTTTAGTTTCAGTTCAATTTAAAAATAAATATACAATTCGGTTTTGTTTCAATTCTCCATGCGAAAACGTTTGAACTGAATCAAACCGAATTAAAAAAATTAAAAATATAAGTATCCAAAACATTTATTTTGTATTTATTATAAGAAAATTTTAAGTAAATAAAATATTAAAGCTGATAACATTTTTATAAATTTAAATTTATATATTTACATTCTGTTTAAACTTTATACTTTTCTCGAGGATCAAACTTAAAAATATAGTGAACAGTCAAAAATTATAAAACCGAACGGACTGTATATAACCAAACAGAAAACTGTAATTTTTATCTTTTAATTTTAATTTTAATTTTAATTTTAATTTTAATTCTTAAATTTTTAAATATCCAAAAAATATTTATATTTTAATGAATATCAAACCAAACCGAATACATTCCCAAAATGAACTTTACAAGAAACATATGACTTGATGCACAATTGCAGCATGGATGGAAAATGGGGAATTGGAAGGGGCGATGAGAGCGTAGGCTGCAGAGGAGAGCAGCTAAAATTCTGACAGACTGAACCAAGAACATCGTGTCTAATAAATGAAAAGAGGGAACATTCGCCATCGTTGTCGGATTAGAGTTGAAAATTTAATCCAAAATGAATAGTTTCGATTCAATCCGATTCGATAAAATCAAATTTTAAAAAATTAGGGTTTAAATAGGATCAAATTAGATTATGTTAATCGTGATTGTAACATTGTGGCTTATACATTAGCTAGATAGACTTTTGATCTGGTTCAATTCTATATTTTGACTCGAATTATCTCGAGATTGTTAAAATTATTGTATTGAATAATTCTCACAAATAACACAGATTCTAAAGCATCTTTTTCCCCTTATAGGATTAGAAAGAGTCTTTAACGAGACCGTTTATCAAATAAAATCTTTAAATCAAACCAAAGTCGATGAAGAATAAATATTTTTTCAAGTCAGATTAAATTCGATCGAAAGATATATTATTTTTATCGAATCAAATCGATAAAAGATTGGATCCAGTCCGCTTGCCTTCCATTAAGTCTGATCTCCTGATTTTCAGACTATGTAATACTCCTTTATAATCTTTCTATTCATCCACCAAATCCATCACCTCCCTTCACCGCCATCTATGCTTTTAATCATCACGCTACCTATCTTCCTCCTGCACCTATATTTCACGCGACTCATATCACGCGCTTTTTGCCTTATACGTAGATATAGGTAGGGATGGCAAACGGGTCGGGTGCGGATATCCCCTCTCCCATCCCCATACCCACCTAATATTTTTCAATCCACCACCCGCCCACTATCCATGATGGGTACAAATTTTTAAATCCACACCCGCCCACGCGGTACATTTTCAAATCCACCCCCCCCTACCCATTAGCGACATACCATCTAGACCCACCTGAAAGCAAACTAATAGGATGTTGGAATTGGTTCCCAGACAGTTCGTGATAGGGTAGCACGCATGCTTCAATTTGTCAGAAGAGTGGCTCTACGAATGTTATGGAGACAGATTATAGGGAGCATGTAGTCGTAGAGCTGGATTGTTGAGTTGCTTTCAATGTTAATGCTTATAGTGCGCCTAATATGGGTTTTGAGGGGCTAAAGAACATGGAAACTATTGCTTTTGATGTTAATGCTTATAGTACGGCTAATTTGTTTGGATGAGCAGCATGGGCTAAAGATCATGAAAAGTGACGTGGTTAGTGGGATTATGGTTTTAATCAAAGAGCCAGATATTTCCTAATTAAAGACCAAATTAAAGACTAAATATCCTTAATATTTGGTTAAATTATATGTTACATTATACAATATTAAAATTTATAAATTAGTCTCTAAAATTACAACTAAATTCATAATGGTCCAAAATTTAATAGATATTTAGCTGGGCGGGCGGATGTGGGGCGGGCGGATGCGGGCGGGTAATGTCTCAAACCCATTACCCGCCCACCACCCACGACGGGTACCACTTTATAAATCCACACCCGCCCACTACCCGCTAAAATTATACCCATCCCCGCTCCAATTGGAGCGGATACGGTGCGGAATCCACGAAACTGTACCCGTTTGCCATCCCTAGATATAGGGATGGCAATGGGTCGGGTCGGGTTTTTGGGCACCCGACTCGAGAAGAAATGATCCTCCACCCGTGATTCGACCCGACGAAATTAAAGTTTTACCGACCCGACCCGAATATATGACTTAGAAATCTGACCTGACCCGACCCGACATAAAAAAAACATTTTATTCAATAAAAATAATCACTTAATTGAAAAAAATTATATATAGAGAGTATAATTGTAATTATTCCTAAATATATAGGATAAAATTATATATTTTTTCAGGTCGAGTCAGATTTTTTCCATCCTAAACCCGACCCGAACCTAATTTTTTAAAAAAAATCCGACCCGATCAGGTCGGGTTCGGATTGAGTTGCCATCCCTACGTAGATATGGTAATTTAACCTTTTAATAAACCGATTTCGACACGGTTTGATCGAGTAAGATTAATTTAAAATTGTAGATTTAGATGAGGTTCGAGTTAAGTTCAGATGGAGGATAAAAAATTTTCGACTTGAATTAAGGATAATAGTATAATTTCTTTAAGTATTTTTATCAATAATTACTATAATACTTCCTCAATCTATTGTTTTTTAGTTAAGTTATTTGGATCAAGTCATATCACATTTATACTCTAAAAATTTAGATTAAATTATAGTTTAGTGGATGATATATATAATTTTTTGGAATAGATTGGTCGATAAATATAATTTTTAGATCATATTATGTTAGATCGAATTCAGATTAAAGATATATATTTTTTAAATTGAGGCAGATAAACAAAAACAGATCTAACTCGACTGTTATCCTATTTATATAGTTTCTAATTTTTTTATAATATAAACCTCAATTGAAAGTTTTGAGCCCTGCTGCCACATACTCTCTCTTTTACCAAAATTTTATTTTCAATACTTCTTCATATTTATTTTAATCTAAATATGAGTTTTATTCTTCTCTTAAACCGAAATTTAAAGTGTAATTCTTGTACTTTTATCTAATATAATTCTTATACTTCAAAATTTTCAAGTTTTAATTAAGGGTAATTTACTCGTTTAATTTTTTGTTTTATTTTAGTATCATGTTTAAAATTTAACGTTTAGTTTTGAAAATTTAAAAATTTAGGTATAAAAATGGATCAAAGCTTATAGTTTAATTACAAAAGGCATGGAGTTTTTAATGGTGACGTACTGAAATAAAATAAAAATTAAACATTAAATATGATTTAAAAAAATATTTAAATATTAAAATAGATTAAAAATTAATAATTTAAATATTAAAGTTATATTTTTTTTAATAAGTAAAAGTCGTAGTTTATCCTTAAATTAATTAGATAATTCTAACACTTTGAATTCAACTTGTCATTTATATCCCTATCCATGACGGTGACGTTGTTTTCTCCTTTTTTTGGTACGAACACTTATGGTGGTCTATAAAATCACTTGCATACCAAATGTGAAGAAGATCCTGAGAAATGATGTTGAAGATCTGAAGTTTTTTTCCCATGAAAACGCAGACGAGTTCTCGGGGCTTAAACCCAGAAGCCCCCGAGTTTTTCCCAGCAAGAAACCCCCTCATTTCGGCTCCGAGTCACCATCCCTTTTACTCTTTCCTTCATTACCAAACCCTATATTCATGGCCTTACTTCCCTTATCACCACACCGCGGCGGTTTCCGGCCCTTACCCGTCTTCCAAACCGTTGACGGTGGCTCAAGAGATGGTGCCCAGCCGGAGGAGAAGCAAAGATAAGCCTTGTCTGAGGAGTGGAGGGCATGGAAAAGAAGGGTTTGTTAGGGCTAAGCTTAGTGGTAATGGTACTGTATACAGAAAGAAGGTTAAAGCTCGGGATGGTAAAAGCAAAGGCGAGAAGCGTCCACTGATTCCACTGAGAGACGATGGGAAAGAGACGACGGTTATGATCAAGAACATACCCAACAGATACACGTAAATATTTTCTTATATACATATATGGTTGTTGAGTGATTTTCGATTCGATAAGTATGTGAAGCTTCACATACTTTGATCTGAGAGTAGAGTCGAAAATCACTCAACATCAATAATGCATTAATTTTTGGGGGGTTGATTTTCGGCTCTTAATTATTTGATCCGAGTTCGGTATCTTTTTAATTGTTGTTTATGTCTCGAAAAAGAATGGATTCTTTTGTGTCGATTCGTGTTTCTTCGTGAGTTGTTTTTTTGGGTCTAATTTTTGTTTTAGTCCCTAGAGTTCAAGATACTTTAACTGTATTAGTTAAGAGCTTTAAAATATATAGTTACGTTTAAGTAATTGCAAGTGACAGCACTCGAACATTGTTCTTATTAGGTCATTTTAAAGTCTAGAATTATGGGAAATTAACAATGAATGATATATATATATATATATATATATATATATATATATATATATATATATATATATATATATATATATCAATGTATGTATCATTTCTTCTTGGACTAAATTGTAAATTTGAGCATGATAGAGAGACCGATATCATAATTTCACCATATCTTTTCATATGTAGACGAGAGATGTTGAAGGATTTCCTCGACCAGCATTGCATGGACATGAACAGAAAGTATGGTGTTGCAGATGATGAACCTTCGTTCTCGGCCTTTGATTTCTTGTACCTTCCGATAGACTTTACGTACGTTTCAAATATTCTTCATATATACCCTGAAAAATAACGTGTATTGTTAGCTATCTTCATCCATTGTTGCAGCACGAAATCAAACAAGGGCTACGCGTTTGTTAACTTCACAAACCCTAGAGCTGCCAGAAGGTTTCTCGATGCATGCCATGATGAACTTTGGAATTGTTTCCAGTCAACCAAGATTCGTGAAATATATTGTGCTAAACTCCAGGTATACTCGGTAGTTATTTTCTTTGTATCTTAGGTTGATTATTTATTTCTACTTTTGAACACTTATAAATTCATGGGTAAATTACTCATTATGTACTTAATTTATAAGTTGTAGGAATTAAATTATCATTTTTATTCGTTTTAGTATCTATTTTTAATTTTAATCAAAATATACTTGATATTTAATTTTTGATTCATTTTAGTATCTAGTATTTAAATTTTAGTCTAAAATTTTAGTATGTAATATTTTAATCTAAATTTTTGGTTTGATTTAGTATATAAACTTTTTAAGTTTTTTAAAACCTAATTGACACTAAAATAAACAGAAGTTAAATTTTAGGCACGGTTTTGAAAAAAATAAAATTTGGGTATTGAAACGGATGAAAGCTGATAATTTACCCTATATTCATTCTCTCACTTGAAATCTTGTAGGGGATGGAAGAGCTTGTTGGGCACTTCGAGAGGATGGGGTTTCCGTGTGAAGAGTTTCAGCCGGTAAGGTTCTATCCGGCACGTGATGGTTCGAAGCAAAGGGTGGAAGAAGCCCTAGTTGGAAGATTGATCCACAGTCCATAAAGCTTATTGTTATTATGGGGGGACAGAGACTGTCTGGTTCTTTTTCGACACTCTTTTGTTCGGTTCTTCCGGTTATGTTTTCCTTTTAAGGTTTGAACCGAGGGGGTGGATTTTGGCACCTGCATGGGGTAGTATAAAGATGGAAGCGCAGGTGATGGGATCCACCCCATATAGATGGGGTTTTAATTATTAGGCTACGCAAGGTCTTTTCTTTAGTCTTTTCCTTGGATTTTAGGGTTCATCTCCTTATCTGACATGATTGTAAGTCTATGGATCTGCTAATGTGTGGCATGATTGCAAGTCTATGGATCTTGTTCACAATCCTCTCCCGCCGGTAACCTTTCACCTTCCACCTTCGCCTCTCACAGGTTTAGATTCAACTTGTATAAGCAATACTAAATTATCTTTTATCAAAAGATATTTAAATATAGAATATAACACATAAATAGTCTTTTAATATTTTATTAAGTTTTTTATTATTATAAGTTTTAAATATAAAGTTTAGTATAAAAGTAAATATTTAAATTATACTTAAAACTAGTTTTTGTGAGTATATAATTTTTCGTTAAATATATATATATATATATGTTTTCTGTTTAATTTTAAAGTGTTTACTATTAAAAAATTTTGTTAAATGATGAGTGTTATTTCCAGATTTAAAAAAAAAATTAGATGTGACGTGTATCATTTAATATTTTTAATAATAAACAGAGAAAATGTTAGATATTTATTTTTAATAAACAAAATTTAAACATTAAAATATTTTTGAAATATTTTTTTGGACATGTATATTTTGTATTAAGTTAAAATATAGTAAAATTAAAAAAAATGATCTTTTTGATTATAGGAAGTTAATTAAAAGGAGTTTTATTATTAAGTTTATTACATATTATATGAAATGATTATTTGTTCATGATTTATGATTATAGAGAGTTAATTAGGAAGAGTTGTATTAATGTGTTTATTAATTATTAAAGTTATGGAATGATTATTTATTTATTTATTATATCTTAAATTTATTTTTTATATATATTTAACGATCGTTTAAATTTCGTATTAATATGTTAATAGATATATAATAATTTGAGATTATGGTTCAAAATTAGTTATGGTAAATATGTAAATTGTGGAAACAAGAGTAGTCATCGGTCGTTTTGAATTAGATACGATCGAATATCTTTAAATTGAGTTTATCTAAAATTAATTAAAAATAAAATTCGAGATTCGATTAAGAAATTAGGCAAAGACTCATTAATCAATTTTCAACGATCAAAATCAATTAAGAAATTAGAGAGCAAATTAAATTAATCGAGAATTTTGGGCCAAATGTCTTAAGGATTAAATTGAACCTAGTTAATTATTATAGCTAGATCAATCAATTAAACTTTAAGTAGGATGTAATTGAAACTAATCAAGCCAAATATACGAAATCAAAACATGTAAATAGGACTGAAATGAAATATTATTAAAAGTAGAATGACTGATTTAGGGATTTAACCCTTAAAACCCTAAACAAGTCGGTTACCCAAATCAATTAGGTCAAGGCCATTAAATCATGGGTCCCACATAGACATATGTTAGCTTTTTTCCCATAAGATTCACTTTAGATTTAATGGCATGAGTATATTTGGGGTTAGTTGAATTTAGGGATTAATAGGCTTTGATTTGGTCTTATATTTGGTTTGAATTTGGGTCTGATAATTAGATTCGGATAAAATTTGATGACGACAATCGTAATTAATGATTGAGTGATTATTTTGTATTTTTTAATGGTCGAGAATTTAATAAAATAACTTTTTACAATCGGGATAATTTTATAATTTTTAATAATTAAAAACATAAAAAAATATTAAAATAAAGAATGGTAAAGTTTGAGTAAATATAATTTACCCAAACTAAATTTATTTTCAAAAGAGGGAAGTGAACTATGTTTTAGGTTACCCTGATTCTAAAATATATTAAAATTATAGTTTTCTAGGGCAAACTACATAAATGATCACCAAAAGTTTAGTGCATTTGCATTTTTAGTTATTAAACTTTTAAAACTTATAATATAATCATTAAACTTTTAGTTCGTTTTCAATAAAATTTTTGACATTATCTCCTGTTAATTAATCTGACATGGCTGGTTCTTTTTCTTTCATCTTCATAAAATAATTCTTTTAACCTATTTCATCTTAATAAAAAACCATCCTCACCCAAAATTGTTTGAAACCCTAAAAATCAAATTCCTCTTTCTCTTATTCTCTTTGTTTGATCAACAATCAAAGCTAAGATTAATTCAAAATTCAGTAAATGATTGTACCTTGAAGGCGTGAAGCAAAGCCAAGATCAGTTGGAGTTAGGGTTGTAAATTAGAAGAGACATATCGCGAGTTATTCGAGATCGACTCAATCAATGCTCGATAAATATTCGGATCGAATGAAATCGACAACTCGAGTTCTTAACGAGACGAAACGAGCTACTTGTTATTCGACTCGGAAAGTTCGTAAGCAGTTCGAAAATATAATATATATGAAGATTTTTTTAAATAAATTATTAATAATATTAAAATTTATGTATTTTTTTAAAATATAGTAAAATTTCATGTATTTAAGGTTTATGTTCGAATTCGAGTTTGAGGCTTCAATCGAGTTAAGTTTAAGTTTTTTTTCATTCCGAGCTGTTCACGAGCTTCAGTTCAAGATTTCGAGTTCGAGTCGAGTTTGAAAATTTTAAACTCGTGAGTTTTCGAGTCGAGTCGAGAGGGTAATATCAAGGATTTAACTGAAAATAAATTAAAAGTTCGGTAATTATTTATGTAGTTTGCCTATTTTTAGTACATATGAGATAAATATAAGACAATATATGTTCGAATATTTCGATATTTGATAATAAATGTTTGTAAAAATCAAAATATCAACATATGACTTGGCATTCTATTAACCGTCCAACATTGGGTTAGTACAAATTCACATATTTTCATCAAAACCTTGACCAACTAGACCCTTCAAGCGTTCACATCCACAACGCATCGCTCAAAAGCGCCACCTCTAATTTGGACATACATGCAGAGTGAACGCGACGCATTTGTCTAAACCCCAACTTAACATTACAACCAGAAGAAGTAAAAAAATATCTTGGTGTTTACGAGGTGGTAATAGAACCATCAAAATATCAACCACGAAAGCAAGGTTTGCAATTATCATCCACATGGCACGACGGCATTGGTCGATGAATGACAACCTCAAATGCGACATCTGGCAGGCGACGTTACTCTATAAATTCATTGAATTGAAGACTTAAGCATTTGTGGTAAAGGAGGAACTCGATAGAGTGGAGATAAGGCCTTTATTGCCCTGCTTTGAGAGGTAAACGAGAATGTCAGCAGCATCGGCAACTCTCCTCAAATCGTCGCCCATCATCGACAAGTTCGAGTGGGTTAAGGGCCAATCCCTCCGCCAGGGATCGGCTACTTTCGTTCAGCGCCACTCCACATCCCCATCGGCACTTACCGTCCGTGCTAGTTCGTATGCTGATGAGCTTGTTAAAACAGCTGTAAGTATTCATTCGGTCACACTTCTTACAAAAATATCGAGAAAGGCTACTCGTAACACAATAAAAACGACATGTCTATCGATAAAGTATTGACGATTTTACTCGAAACCGGATGTTTTAGACTAGGCAAGAAACCATACGAGCATGACGTTTTCTTTGGATTTTGTAGAAAACCATTGCGTCCCCCGGTCGTGGTATTTTGGCCATGGACGAATCAAACGCTACATGCGGGAAGCGACTCGATTCCATCGGTCTGGAAAACACCGAAGCCAACCGCCAAGCGTACCGTACCCTTCTCGTGTCGGCCCCCGGACTCGGCAACTACATCTCCGGTGCTATCCTTTTTGAGGAGACTCTTTACCAATCCACCACCGAGGGCAAAAAGATGGTCGATGTTCTCGTTGAGCAAAACATCGTCCCTGGTATCAAAGTTGACAAGGTAAAAATCCAAATAACAATACGCTCCATGTTATATCCAACTTAACACTTAATGTTCAAGTTGATAGCTAGGGTTAGCGAAGGATATGATTGATTCCATATTTTAAGAATTCGGTTAAAATGTTTTGAAGTTGAACTAACAATTTAGAACCTGAAAAAATACTTTAAGGACTTCCGGTGTAATTAACCATTTTTTATCAGAAATGTATTAACGTACGTTGTTCAATGGTGATTAAAAAACAGGGTTTGGTCCCTCTTCCTGGTTCCAACAACGAGTCCTGGTGCCAAGGTCTCGATGGTCTTTCATCTCGCACAGCTGCCTACTACCAGCAGGGTGCTCGATTCGCCAAATGGTACTCGAAGTGTTCGATAAAACTCCCGAATCGTATTGTGCTCTAGTCCCTAAGTAACATTCTTTATATAACTCAATGCATAGCTCTGTTTTGATTAACCAGGCGTACTGTTGTGAGCATTCCCAATGGTCCATCTGCCTTGGCAGTTAAAGAAGCAGCTTGGGGTCTTGCCCGTTATGCCGCCATTTCTCAAGTAATTCTAAAAGAGCATCCGTTGTGTTCGTAATCGGGATAAATGCATCTATGACGATAATGTAAATCTTATGAGAGGATTGTTATTTGCAGGATAGCGGGTTGGTGCCGATCGTGGAGCCGGAGATCTTGCTTGATGGTGACCATGGCATTGATAGGACTTTCGAGGTAGCACAGAAGGTTTGGGCTGAAGTTTTCTTCTACCTTGCTGAGAACAACGTGTTGTTTGAGGGCATTCTCTTGAAGCCTAGCATGGTTACTCCGGGTGCCGAATGCAAGGACAAGGCCACCCCACAGCAAGTGGCTGACTACACTCTCAAGCTCCTCCACCGCAGAATCCCACCGGCTGTCCCCGGAATCATGGTACATTTCGATAAACAACACTACGATCTCGGAATCGTTTTTGACTCACTGAATCCGAGCACTGATTATCATTTTTTGAACAGTTCTTGTCTGGTGGGCAATCCGAGGTGGAAGCAACCCTCAACTTGAATGCGATGAACCAATCTCCCAACCCATGGCACGTCTCGTTCTCCTACGCTAGAGCTCTCCAAAACACTTGCTTGAAGACATGGGGAGGCAGACCCGAGAACGTTAAGGCCGCTCAGGACACCCTGCTCGTCCGTGCCAAGGCTAACTCGCTCGCTCAGCTCGGCAAATACACTGGTGAGGGAGAATCGGAGGAGGCCAAGAAAGGAATGTTTGTTAAGGGCTACGTGTACTAAGTTGTTGCAAACAAAAGCAATAAAGTGACGATAAAGAGTATCAGGATCTTGTCTTCTGTTAGATATGTAAATGCTTATGGAGTCTTTTTGTTTTGTAATGATATATGTATGCATGCATGCATGCATGCATGATACTAAATGCTTGAAACTGCATTCCATGCTTGTAAATTAGAGCAACTCTGGTTTTTTCTGAATTATCATTTTCTATCCTATCTGATAATAACGGCCAAAACAAAAATGAGTTGAACAGGCAATTCGAAATAACTCGAGCCAAAATTCACCTGAATTCGAAATGATTCAAATAAAAATAAACTTGAAATATCTTAAAATTCACAACAGAATCCCTTCTTCATTTTGACATGAGAACCTATAGTTTGGTTGTTCGATAATAATACATCCAGAATGTATAATGCTGCTGGTGTTTTCGTCTACCGAAAAAGGCACGGTAAGTGAATTATGGATAAATTTGCTCAACCCTTTAACGAGTACTTTTTCCCCGTAAATGGCTGGAACTTTGGCTCTTCCTTCTTCTCAGCCTGCTCCGGTTTAGTTTCTTTTCCAGATTCCTGTAAAAATTAAACGAACAAGCATCTTATATCTTCATTATTTCATAAAAGAAGACCTGGCATATAATAGGCAACTGTAAGCAAATAGGCAAAACGAAGGTACTGCGGAAATGATGAGTACCGGTTTTGTTTCTTTAGGACGGCCTGCATTTGGTCCAAATACAAGTTTCCCTTGAGCCTTGCCTGCAGAAGCTTGTGAGCTAGATCCCGAAGAAGGTCGGCTATTATTCCCATTAGAAACAGCAGGCCCCTTGTCTTTAGACCCGGATGAAGAAACTGGTGGAGGCTGCTCCTTTAGAGGCTTCCCATCCAAGCGTCTTGCTGTACCAGTAAAGGCGCTGAACTTTGGTTCAGCCTCAGCAGGAGCTTCTTCAACTGAAGGAACAAAGAAGAGATGATCCTTATAACAGAAGGTAAAGCATTACCGAGATCTATCATAAACTCAAGTGCACTAGAGCATAATACCAAAAGAGAAAAAAGCACATAAATTGAACCCAAACAAAAACTGACACTACGATAGAACAGTACGATGCCGAACAAGAAGTACAGAGCAAGATAAATTATTCTTTGAGATCAAGCAAATATATTGTTACGCCTTCTTTTCACCTTGAGATGGTGCCCTGTTTGAAGAAGTGGATACGGCGGGCCTTTCCGGCTCCTTGTAATCCAGGGGAGGAGCAAAATCTACCTCACAGTCTGTCTCGATGATACTTATTGCATTGGATGGCTTTGTCTCGATGATATCTATGTAATACTTCTTGTTATTATATGCCACCATAATACTATCTCCAGTGGTTAAACAGGAATAATTCCTCAGTGTTGTCTCCAGGCTGCACAATAAAAGATATAGATGCCTAAATCAACTCGGAGTGCAATTTCCAGATTAAGGAGAACCTATGTTCCTATGAAGTCCATGCCAAATACATAAATTTATTTGGCTTACATGAAACTAAATTACACAATATTGTCAAAAAGTATACGCTTGATGACAACATATGTTTCGGTTTTGAAGATTGCCTTCTTAACCAAACATTAACATAAAAGAATCAAGCATGCATATATTCGAAAATAATCCACTCACATAGCTTTTGGGTTCGAGATATCTAAAAAGTCCATCGTGTGGGGTTGCAGTTTAACATAGGTTCCCTTTGGAAGAGTTACGTTTTTCAACCTCACAATATCTCCCTCTTGTAGGACCAAATTCTCCATCATCTACACGAAACCCATTGAAAACAACAGGGGCAAATCAAATTAGTATAATTCTTGGATCTCAGAGTAGCAAAAGCAATCCAGGAGTATTAGTAATTCGAAGAATATATAAACTGAGAGATGCATTGCCTACCCAATACGGCATATAGATCATGCCTTCTTCAGCAATAAACTCCAGTACTCCACAGTGAGAGACACGCTCAGCAGCATCATTCTGAAGCTCAAATAACATTGGATAATCAATGTGTAGAGACGCTGCATGATTTTATCGACACATTAGCAATCCTGATGATAAGAACAAAGCTCAAAAGGAACTGAGACTAATTGCACAGGTTAACGTAGCAACTAAAACAACAAACCTAAGCGATCAAGGGCCGACGGAGGCATTATAACTGAAACAACAATGAAAAGAGTACATCTTAGGAACTTGCACAGAAAAAGGAACACAATGCATTAACCATAGGTCGTAAAACTTACTCTTATCTCCACTTTCAATTTGTGGCTGCAGGGAAACAAAATAGAAATTGGATGCGGATCATTGACCGTATAAATAACAAACCAGGATATTACAAAATAACAAGATACCAAGATTGAAACATCTAATATAACAATCCACTCTTTCAAACCTTTTCAATAAAAGAGGCAGGGTAACAACGGTAACTCTGCTCGAATGATGTCCCATGATAGCCATATCCATCGAAAAACTGCAAAACCAAACCATATGGATATATAAAAAATTACTAGTATGTACACAGACACTCATCTTCCATCCATTATAACCCAAATTTCTAAATTACAGATTGAGTTAAACAACAATCCAAATGTCACCCAAAAGAAAACCTACAAATCACTCCATATCCATCGAAAAACAGCTAAATCAAGCAAAAAAGAAAGCTACAAAATACACAAATCACCCCAAAAACAATCATCGAAACTAGATCCAAAATAGCGAGGGAAAAGAGGGAGTAAATCATACCATCTTGTATCGTTTATGAACGGTCAAACCAGTAACTTATTGTTCAAGTTCGCTACAAGAGAAAGAGAAGACGGGTCCAAACATAAGAATACAACCCGATTCACAGAAATTAATAACAAGTTCGAAACAAAAATTACTAATTTGCAAAATTCCCGCAATTCTTTCTCATAAGAATCAAGAGTGCAACAAACAAAATCAACAAGAATTCAAAATTGAAATGAGAAAGGGCGTATTTTGGAACAAAAATTCAAACTTTCCTCCTTACTTCAGTTACTAATCAGTTAAATTCCGTCCTTTACACCCCAAAAGCGAAAGAACGATATGAATTTAGGGATTTGGAGGGTAAACAATAGGGGAAATTGAACAGATTTGAAGAATATGAATTAAAACATATAAATATAAGAATTGAAAGAAAATTAAATTATTATAATAATAATTAACAGAGAAAAAAAAAAGAACCTGAGAGAGACGGAGACGTGTAAAGGTTTATTTGATCAGTGAAGCAAAGATATGAGAGAGTGAAGAAGATGGAGAGAGCACGTAATATGGGGGGATGGAATCACCTAGGATGCACTTTAACTTTAGGTTTTTGCATATCACAAATCGTATTGCGCCACGTATCTATTTAGGGTTCCTTTGGGCTCTGCAGTCCACAAACGACATCGTGTTTGCAAATAGGCCCAAAGGAAAATCTTTTTCAAGTTTCTTCTGAAAGAAACTCCGGTGCTCTACCAACGAGAGACACTCGACAGCATCGTCCCGAAGCTCGGACAACATTCGATAATAAATATGCAGAGACGCCGCATGATTTTATTCACACGTTAGCATTCCAAACGAGGCGATCATGAATCGCTCGGTAAAGGAACATATGGAACAGCAGCAAAAATTTGCAGGAACATAAGATCATGGACAGTATTAATAACGAAACAAGCTAAGACTGAATAAGAAATCACCATTGCAACATATGGAACAACAGTCCACTTTCGGTAAAAGGTACACGGAAACATCGGCAACCCTGCTCGAACGATGTCCCATGGTAGCCGTACCCATCGGAAAACTGCTAAATCGAGCAACATGGAGAACTAAAACTTACCAGTCTACATCAAAGAAGCAATAAGCCAATAACTATAAGACTTATAATATGGAAATCAACAACTAAATGCGGAAGACGAAAACTAAAACGACAAGATATTGAAGCTCGGAGAATCCGTTCAACATGGCTAATTGTGAAACGTTGGCTCAAGCGAGGCAGTAGGACCACTGCTCGTCCTCGCTAGCCCCGGACTCCACCAAAGCAGCATTGTAATCATCCTTATTGCAATAGTAAAAACCATCATTATTAATGGCAGTCATCGAACAAGACGACGCCAGTTCAAGATAAGGCATGTTGTGGAAGGAGCCAGCGAGGCTGCCGGATAAAGCAGCTGCATCGAATCCGCAAAATTCTTCAGCCCGGTGCTTGAGGGTGTCGAACATGAGCTCTGGCTCGTGCTGCATTGCCCGAAGAACGTCCCCACATGATGAGCCAGGCATCGCTCGAGTCACAGCAAAGCTCTGTGGACCATCGCTCTGTAACACTGTAACAACACTCGGTCCACCGAACAGGTTGTGGACTCCGCCGAGGGCCTCCTCATAAGCCCCACCCAAGAACATCCCCAAATAGTACCGTGATCGTCCATTAACACCACCACCGCTACTACCACTAAGCTCGTGTAAAGGCAAGCTCGTTTTGTCTCCGATGAACTTATCGATCTTCCCATCACTGTCACAAGTTAAATCAGACAAAACACCTTTCACGGCGGGCCTTTCGTCCATTCGATGGATAGGTACTATAGGAAAAATCTGACCAATGCTCCAAAAATCCGGGATCGAGGTGAAAATCGAAAGGTTCACGAGATAAGTCCTGGCTGGCTCAGACACACCAATCATTTTCGTAACCAAATCGAATAAGCCATCAACAGCACCAAGTTGTTCAATCCCCAAAGTCCCGTCTTTGAACTGTTCAACACATCTTTGCTTCAACTGATCAGCATAAAACAAACATGTCTCATTATCTTGTCTCATGGCTGCATCACTCAAATTCCAATAATCAACTCGAGCATCCTCGGACAATGCCTCCATAATAAACGGAATGTTAATTTGGTTCATCGCCGGGGTCGTCGGGGCAACTGCACCCATGGCCTCGAATATCAAAACGGAATGATGAGAAACAATGGCTCTACCACTTTCACTACAGATAATGGGATGCTTGATAGATTTTCGATCACAGACAACTCGAATTGCATTAACAATAGCTGAAGCATATTCCTCAAGTCCATAAGACACAGAGAGATCCGAATTACCGGATTTCGATCCGTCGTAGTCAATTCCAAGGCCGCCTCCAATGTCGATAACCTTCATGTTGGCACCAAGACGGACTAGTTCCGAATATATCTGCGCGGCTTCGCCGACACCATCTCGAAGCAAAGCAGTGGAAGGGATCTGGGATCCAATATGGAAGTGCAACAATTGCAAACAATCCAACATCCTTGAACCATGAAGTTCTTTAACAACACTCAGAATCTGGTTGGTTGTTAACCCGAACTTCCCTTTCTCGCCCGAAGTCGACCCGAAATGACCCGAATGCCTCGTTCTCAGCTTCGCTCGGATTCCGATCACTGGACGAACGGAAAGCTTTTTGCTTATATCAATAACCAATTTCACCTCATCTTCTTGCTCCAGCACAATCACAGTGTTCAAAGCCAGCTTCCTTGCGAGCAAAGCAAGCGAAATGTACTCGGCATCTTTGAATCCATTGCAGATCAATAAAGCCTCTGGATTTCCTTTGCAAAGGCAGTTCATGGCGAGAAGAAGCTCCGGTTTTGACCCGGCCTCCAAACCGAACCGGAATGGCGACCCGAATCTGACTATGTCTTCAACAACGAACCGGTTCTGGTTACATTTCACGGGATAAACGCCTTGGTAATAAGAATCGTAGCCTAGGGCTTGGACGGCCGATTCAAAAGCCGATTGAAGTGACTCGAGCCGGTTCTTCAGCACATCGGGAAACCGAACGATGAGGGGAAACTGTAAACCCAATCCGCCCGCCGGTTTGGCATCCGAAACTTTCTTAACGACTTCCAGCAAGTCGATTTCTTGGTGGGCCGAAGTGCTCGCACCGTAAGGTCGGACGGCGATATTGCCGGCGTCATTTACGGCGAAATAAGGAGCGCCCCAGCTGTCAATACGATAGAGAGCGGCGGAATGAGAGGGGGACCAATGGGTTGAAACGGAATCACCCGAAGCGACGGTGGCGGTGGTGGAGGAAGAAAATGGGACCGCAGCGTAGCCAGGAGGCGCTACGGAAGCGTCCACGCAGCAAGCCAATGCCGGCATCCCCATTAACGATCTAAAATAAAACGATTCGAATAATTATATGAAAATTTTTCAAATAAAAAAAGCCGATTTCCGATAGCTTTCAAAAGGTTCGGGGTTTCAAAACCCGCCAAGGCGAGGCCCCGGCCACCCCCTCAGAAGAAGGCAAAAAAAAAAGTTACAACCGACAAAAAAAAACCTTCCTTTTTCCTTCACACTTCGAAATCCCCAGCCACTCAGCCAGTCACTTCAAAATCACCATACAGAGATGTAAATAAGATTGGTTAAAATGAGAAAAGGAAAAAAGGACGAAACTTTCCCGGAAAACGAGGGAAATGTCGGTGAAATTTAGGAGTTTTGGTGTAATCTGTTTAAAAGAATACGTCTAGCAGAAGGTGATTGTTGGCGAGGATTGCATGGAAGGAGATGATCTATTATATAGGGAGTTTAACGGGTCACATTGGTTTCGGGTTTGGACTTCGGTTTACCCAACTACATATTTCTCAGCATTTTTTTCAAAAAAAATCCCATTTTTCTTCTATTTTTTGGTAGATTCATTTATTATCGATGATGAATCAATGTCGAGTTGCCGCTTGGCAATGGCAATTTATAAAAACATAAATAAATATTGTATTCGAAAATTGTCGTTTTTTACTTAAATACCCATATTTAAAAAATATTTTTTAATTAACACTAATTTTTCATAAGGGTAAAGTATATAAATGATCCATCGATTATAGGATAATGCTTTATTAAGTCCATCGACTATTAAAAGTTACAAAATAGTCACTCGACTATTCATTTTGTTCTAAACTCATCATTTTTTGTTAAAAAGTGACAGTATTATAAGATGAACATTAACATGATGATTGTGATATGATAAAATTTGATCTCATAATCTTAAGTGACTATCATATCTCAGTCTTCATGTTAACGTCCAATTTTGACAACTGTCAATTTTTAATGAAAAATGATGAGTTTAGAACATAATGAATAGTCGGGTGACCATTTTGTAAATTTTAATAGTCGAAAGGCTTAAAAGATCAACATTATATAGTTGGAGGACCATTTTATAATTTTTAATATTCGAGAAACTTAATAAAGTAATACCTTATAGCTAGGGGACCATTTGTGTATTTTACCGTTTTCATAAAAGTCCCACTATATTAAATGGTCATTGAAGTACGAATATTTAACAATGAAATTTCAAAGGTAAAGAAATAATCACTGACAGTTGTTACTCTAATAACGAAATATTGATTCTGTACGTTAAGTTGTTTGGCATTGTTTGACCTCACATATCGATCTTTGACTTCAAACACATAAGAAAAGAATCTAGAATGAAAGTTAAAATAGATATGGTAGGTATATGTGTTTGAAATTAGGGTTTATTTACGAATTACGACTCTAGTTTAAAGATGAATTTTTATTAAAGTTCGGTCAACTCTTGTCTTGTGTGGACAGATGATGTTAAGTACGTCAATCTAATGTGTTATATTAACTTTTTGTTAATGGGGCAAAGACAGTTGACACTCACTTAACCCGTCAATGACGAGGTTATTGACATTTTTACGGACGACGTTTTCTAAAATTTTAGAATTTACATTCAATGACGAGGTTATTGACCAAATGCCTTTACATTCGTTTTTCTTCATAGGTCACCTTCTTTAAATCACATAATGAGAGGACCTAAAGTGATTAATGAAAAAAAAGGTCAAAATTATCAATAAGATAATAGAAGGACCAAAATAGCAATTTCATTCTAGTTTAAGAACCAAAACAGCTATTAAACCTTTAAATTACAGAAATTAAATTTCTTCGTACAGACATTCATTTATGGTAGTAACGATGACTCGGCGTCGGATAGCCGCGTGGTCTCTTAAAAAAGTAGACCCAACATTGAAAATATTAAATTAATAAAATATAAAAATATAAAATTTAACATGATATATTATAACTTAATTCGAATTGTTGTATTTACATTGAAAAAGATTAAATTAATTCGAATAGTTGTATTTAAAGTGATCTCCGTGATATAAGAATTGTTGTTATTCCTTGAAGATTCGGGTTCAAACACCACAGATGTCAGGGGTGTGAGTGATTAATGTCGAAAGTTTGAGAGTTATCTTTAAACAGATACTACCATGTATTTACCACAAATTATTCAAAAAAATATTATTCAGGGTAAAATTTGCGTTTAGTATCTGAACTATTAGTTTTTGTCTATTTTTAATACATAAACTTCAATTTTTTCAAAATCATACATAGTATTTAGTTTTTATTTTATTTTAGTACCCGTCGTTAAAAACTTAACACGTTTAACACCTAAACTATCAGTTTTGGCCCGTTTTAATACTTAAACTTTTAATTTATTTTCAAAATTTAATGTTAAGTTTTTAATGGAATACTAAAATGAAACAAAAACTAAATATTATATATGAAAAAATTAAAATACTAAAATAAATTAAAATTAATAATTTAAGTATTAAACGTGTAATTTAATTCTTTATTTATTTATACTCACAAAAAATGAAATGTTGTAAGTGAATGATTGATTTGAATCATTGAAGATAGGATTTAGTAGGTGAAGGGGAGAACCGTAAATGAAAGGCGCCTACCCATTTTATCCTTTTTTAAATTGGTCAAATCCTATATTTAGTATTTGTATTATATATAAATTATAGACTTAGTCCTTATACTATAATTTAATTAATTTTAGTATCTATACTTTTCAAATTTAAAAATTTTAATCATGAATCAAACAATATAGAACTAAATTACATTTCTTAAAACTATCAATTTAAAGTTAATTTATAACCAACTTGTAATATAAGGACTAATAACATAATTTAATAAATTTCACGGTTAATTATTGTCTAGACTAGGACTCAAAATTTAAAATGTGAGAAATAAATGGACTAAACATGATAAAATTAGGATACAATCATTTTGGAGGTCAATGCCCTTACCTACCTCTAGCTACTCCATGAATATGCCTTAAAAGTACACACCAACATTAACTGGTAACCGTAATACAAACTTTTATTATTTTTAAATTTTGAGTAAAGTACATTAAAGGTCATCAAATTATGTAAAAAATAATTATTTTATTCATTACACTTTCAAATTAATAAAATAATTATTAAATTTATTAAACTATTGTAAAATAAAAGTTTAATTTAATTTATCAAAAATTTACAACTTTTTATAATATTGGAGTAATCGCTTTGTAACAATTTCACTAAATAGAAAAATTATTTTATAACTTTCGAAAGTTCAATGGTCAAAACTAAGTTTTAGCATAATTGAGTGACGTCTAGTGTGATTTACCCAAACATTTTAATATAGTTGAAAATTTAAATAGAAGTTCAAAACTAATTGTTGAAGTTGTTCAACGCTCTTGGTTGAAGTTGTAACACCCCAATTTATGGGCTAAATTTAAGAAATTATAAAGTGGTGAATTTAAATTGTATTTTTAGGAGAAAGTGGGGATTAAATTGTAAAATTTTAAAGTTGATAGACCATTTTAAGAAATACAAAAAATTCAGTGGCTAAATCCATGATTTAACCATTTTTATTTTGCAGAGAATTATAAATCTCTCCCACCTATGTTCAGCAGAATATTTTCCAGTTTTCCCTCTCCAACAATCCTTCTTTCAACTCCGATCTACTCACCGTCCGACCTCTGATCGACGAACCGAAACCACCATCGTGTTCGTTGTCAATCGAGGAACAAAACCCCTCAAACCTTTCGTCGTGAATCGTCTCCGTTTTTCGTTAATTTCAGTCGAAAGTATCGTCGGTAATAACTCGATTTCAATTGGTTTTTCGTCGATTCACGACGATCCGATGATCCGTTTACGACACCTCCCGCACCATTGTGTTTCTTGCATCATTCCGAGTCTGCCGGTGTCATCCTTGGTCTCCATAGACGGCGGCGCGTGAGGAGGTGAGACTATCAAAGTTTCTGATTTGTTAAAATCGAGCTCTCCGCCGTTCAAAAATTTAAACCGAGCTTTGTAAGTATCTTGAAATCGCTCAAAATAATTTTTAGGAATTTTTATGTGAATTTTACACTGCCGGAACAGTACTCACGCGCCGTCACTACGCTTGGGGATGGTTCAAATGATCGGTTTGATTGGTTTTTGGAGCAGATTTGATCGGTTTGACCGGTTATAACCCGACCCGTTGATCGTTGACTGACGTTGACCACTGTTGACCAAAACTTTGACGGGCTTTGACCGGGCATTAAACGACCTTTGACTTTGACCGAGTATATCTATCCTGACATTTTTCGAAGTTCCAAATCCGATTCCGCAATCCGTTTTTCGAAATTCAGACCCGAAGGCCTCAAAATTGGCAGTCAAACCCGTTGACTTTGATTTTGACTGAAAATTTCAAATTTCCGAAAAGTCATATTTTATGCTTTCGACGTCTTGAATCCGAATCCGAAGTCTGTTTCGCCAAATTCGAACCCGGTAAGTTGGCTTTCACTGATTAATCACCCGATTCGATTTGTTTATCGTAATTAAGCTCCGTTTTTTATATAATTTATGTTGATATGTATCTGAGGAATTATTGGAAGTTGAATTGAAGATCAAAGGCATTCGAATGGAATTTTTATGGTCGATCGGTATTGCACGGAAATCAAGGTAATACTTTACTACCTCTTTATGCTTTATAGAACATGTTGGTATTGGTAAATACATGAATGAAAATGTTTGGTCTCATATGTGTAATTAATGAAGATCTACACTAGATAAGAATACGGTAGAAAGTAGGTAACTGAATATGGCTCAGATTACTATTATAAGAAATTGGAGTACAGTTGTAATTAAATTACAAGTTCTGGAATTAAGTGATAAAAGAATCAACCATGGATATGTAGATTATAATTTATCTCATTAAAGGTATTTAGATGATAAATTATGAGAATATTTCGATTAGGTAAAATTATGAAATTACCCTTATGTTGGAAAATGACAAGAATTGTCCCTGGAAGTGGATCAATAAATCTGAAAAGAATTATTGA